GTGCCACCAACGTCGGCTTTGATAATAACAGTGTTAGTAGTTTACCTTCCTGGCGGTATCCGGATAGTGAAAGTTGAGCATTGAGCCGGACTATATCATGTAGGCTCATTCATCGAACTTCTTCTTCTCAGTTACGCCAGGTCGACTCTGGGAGCACCCTCTTTGGGTGTTGAGTTGTCAGGGACCAAAAAACCTACCCGAATCGGACCAAAAAAAATAGCAAAAAAGAAGATTGAATCCAATGCTCCCATACGGATTTGAACCGTAGACCTCGACATTACTAGTGTCGCGCTCTACCAACTGAGCTATAGGAGCTTGTTTACTGCCATTCCACTTAGACATTATAACAGCAAGCACACCAGCCGTCAACGCATCAACACAGCCAACATGCCACGTTTTGGTCGGAACGTAGGGCTGCCATCCCGCGTCGCTTTATAATACTCCCGTCAAGCCATACACACTCCAGCTCTAGCTCGGGAACTGTCGTCCATCCCATCTTGACTTCGGCTCTCCACCCATCGCCATCGATGACCAACCGCTGGAACTATTGAACAGCAGACTGATCAATCCGTTATCACAGTCTCCCCTTCTGCTATCACCGTTATCGACATCAAAGACATAGATAAACATAGACACACTCACACACACACACCCCACCATGGCCGCCGTACCGATCGAAGAATGGTTCTACGAAATCCCAGTATGCACCCGCATCTGGGCATCCGCAGCTGTCGCCACAGCTCTTGCCTGCCAATGTCATCTTGTCTCGCCCTTCCAGCTCTTCTTCTCCCTTCAAGCCGTCCTTTCCAAACGGCAGTACTGGCGATTGATCACCACGTTCCTCTATTTCGGTCCTTTGAGCGTGGACTTTATGTTCCACATGTTCTTTTTGGCACGGTACAGTCGGATGTTGGAGGAGACGTATTTTAGAGGGAAGACGGCGGATTTTGCGTGGTTGCTTTTGTACAGCTGCACTTGTTTACTGGTGAGTTTCTTTTGGTTGATGGGTTGATAGCTACATTATATCTGCTGTTATAGAAGGAGTTTGAAGGGATTGGGAAGAAAGCTAATGCGAAGGGAATTAATAATAGTTCTGCTCTGCAACATTCGTACAAATGCCATTCCTTGGATCTCCGCTCGCCTTCTCGATCGTTTACATCTGGGCACGAAGGAATCCATCGGTCAGGCTTAGTTTCTTGGGATTGTTCGTTTTTAACGCCCCGTATCTCCCCTTCGTCCTCCTAGGGTTCAGCATGTTGATCAATGGTAACGTGCCCAAGGATGATGCTCTTGGGATTGCTATTGGACACAGTAAGTATACCATCCAAAGCCAGGAACCGAACGTCCCATGGCTAGCTATTTGGGTATAATAATGATATGCTAATTGTCGACGTACTCTAGTCTACTTTTTCTTCATGGATATCTACCCAACTGTTAGAAACGGCTCCAGACCTTTGGACCCACCGGAGATCTGGAGGAGGTTGTTTGAGCCACGTACCGAGAATGCGAGACCACAGATCCAACAGGAGCAGTAATTTGTGCCTGCGGATATTTAGCTGCATAGCTAACTTTTCTCTTTCTCTCTCTTTTCTCTCTCAAAAAGCTCTTTCTCAAAAAGCTCTTTCTCCTTGGTGTGATGGGGGTAAATACACATCATGAGTTTTACATTTCGACCTCTTTGCCACTATAGACGACTTTAGAAAGGCAAAGAGGCTGCTGCCACCCCCACATTACTGGGGTGGGTATTTTGCTCTTTTCGTTTTAATTCAGCGTTATCATTCACAGGTGTTCAGTGGGTGTTTTTCTTTCTTTCTTTCTTTAGTTTGGTTTTGTTTCCTTCCATTTACCATTCTCGTCACCGCCTGTATGATACTGTCATTTGGATCCTGGTGGTTTAACCAAGGGAAATACCAAGTCTCGGAGACTCGGAAATGCCCTCTACTACTCAATAAATGGTCTTGTGAACATTACATGCTTGCAGCTCAGATCCGAAATGAGGTTCGTGAATGAATGAATGATTCTAAACTCTATGTATAAATACACCGTAAAGCGCCATGCGAAATAGCCCACCCAAATATGTCATCATATACCAGAAGTATAATCTTACACACATGCCCACAATCTACCTACTCCTCGTTCGCCTCAAAAAAAGAGTCGCTGTCGTCATCGTCATCGTCATCATCATTTTTATCGTCTTCTTCTTTCTTCCCAAGATACTCCCTGCTCGCGAGAACCTCTTTGAACCGCGGCAACAGCAACTCCACCGTTTTATTCACATCCGGCATCTCCACGATTTCCTTCACACCGTCTCCATTCACAATCTCACCGATCCCGGCGATAATCTTCCCTGTTCTTCTCTCACCATCCAAACCTACCCCGCTAGCGGCTCTAACTGTAGGATCCTTCCCGTATCTAACTTTCCCACCGGTGGCTTCGGCGGGTGTAATCTCCGTCGAATCGAGCAATTCCTGCCATTTGAACAAAAAGTTCCCAGGTCCCTTTTTCAATGGCTTCCTCGCCTCGCCGGCGTTCAACGAAACGATGGATTCCATCCTTCGTTTTGTCTTTTGATTCAGTTTTTGGAGGTATTCCTCGTACTCATCCATCTGCTCCAAGACGATCTTTCTATCTTCTTCGTTTAGCTCGTTCACGAGTTTATTCAATGTGGCCGTAAACCCCCCAGCACCTTCGCCTGTAACGCCCTCCGGACGTCTAAATTGCTTTACCGCATACTTTGCATACTCCAACCATAACTCTTTCGCCTTGTCTCCCTTTTTACAGAACTGGTGGAGGAAAACGTGACAGCTCTTTTGGTGTCTTTCGAATAGTTTTACGAATTCTTCGACGCCCGGTGGTTTCTTTGGTCCGTTTTCATCAGTACCAGTGCCGCTACTCTCGGCCGATGGGACCTTGGCTGTTTTTATCATATCGTTCACAAAACGTTCAAAATCCGCGATTGTGCCGCTGAGATCGACCGCATTATGGATGTCTCGTAAGATAGGCTCGTATATTTGGACGATATCCCGGATTGCGGCGGTTAATACGTCTGGGTTTGACTTGCATAAAACGAGGATTAGATGCTCTCTGTCGCGGATTGATAACTGGATCGAGAGGTATTCGAGGAGGAGCTTGTGCCCCTCTGATGTGAAGTCCGTGGAAGGGGACGAGGGAGCGAGTGAGATGATTGCGTGAACGATGGAGGTAGATGAAGCTTTGCTGATCACGCGGTAGTCCTCTTGATCGACCTGTGTGAGTTTAGTGTAGGCGGTGATGGCGGCAAGATGCTGTTTTGAAGGGCAATCTTTGGACTTTTCTAGTTTTGAAACTCGGGATTCGAGTTCTTTGATTTCCCAGGATAGGACGGTGTATATGATACTAGAAGCCTGTTAGGAGAATACTATCATTTTTTAGACGCAAGGGTGGAGTTTTAACATACGTTTGTAGTAGGTTCATACCCTCATCTGCCCCGCTGCTCCATCCGATCCAGTTTGTGAGGGTCCCAATACTCATCTTTGCCAGCACCAGCTTGGTCATCCCACTAATCATGGTCGCAGCATTTCCAACCCTCAAAGTCTGTCGAACGATTCGATAAGGAATCAATTTATTCGTCCTTTCGACCAACGACAGTAGTGTCTGTCCCTTGGGAGAGGTGACTAGCACATAATGTGCCAAAGACGCCAGGCTTGCAATCATCAATAACTACGAATTAGCTTTGATACCTTCAATTTGGTTTGTTTTTTTTCTTTGGTTTCGTTTGTCAATAAAACGTACTTGACGACGATATGCTGATGCGCCGCAATAACCAAATCACTATGAGCCTGCAAATCATCACTCTGGGCTACTTGTTCGAATAACTGGTCCAACAGGTCTCCATACACAACCTGTCTTAGAAACTCCCTCCACGCATCTACCAGGTCCTGCTGATGTTTGACATCGTACACTCGGTCCGGGTCGGGTTTGATCTCTCGTCCGGGCATGCCGCCTAGCACTCCTCGAGCAGGGTACTCTATCAAGGCCGAGACAGCGGTAGCAAGGGTTTTACGGATACCCATAGATCCCTTGTCGTAGGATTCCGAGAGGTTTGCTTTAGCGAGGTCATCGATGAGAGGTTGTACGCGTTTGGACCAGAAGTCTTGAGAGATGTCGCGGAGGCCCGGGATGGGGACTACGAAGGTCGAGAAGAGAAGTTGGAGGATTGGGGATTTCGAAGTGACTTTGCCTTGTTCCTCGACACCATCGCCACCACCGTCTTTGAGACCGTCAGTACCGTCATTTTTAGAATTATTATGATTATTATTAATATTATTATTATTAATATTACGGGTGGGTGGATCGGGTTGGAAAGGTGGACCGTATGAAGTGATTATGCCAGGGGTCTTGAATAGCTCGATTTCAGCTGTGTAGGTCTCGCGGTGGGTGAGGATGTCAAGGAGGGCGTGGGATTGGGCGGGCGAGAGGGATATGGGAGACATCGTGATGTCTGTTACGGGAGGAGGGCGACGGTGATTGAAGCTGAGGAGGGGCAGTCATGATGAAGAGAGAAGAAGGAGAAGAGGGAGGAAGAGAGCGATGGGATGGGATGGATGGGATGGATGATTAGAGCGAAGCAGGAAGGACTTTCCATTCGCACCAACGTCATATGCAACACACCGCCAGCTCCAGCTTGAGCTCCACAGCTGCTATAATCAACATCACATGTACACCTCTGGTAAGTACATCGCGAAGACAAAATTAAATATTTAAATGTGCATATGGACAAGCTAACACGGCCAATGCGATACAGTATATACAGGCACGTAACATGTTCCAGGCGGGAGGCCTCGAAGCCTGGCCAAGGCATTGCTGTTGCACCAATGGTCAAAGCTACCTATGCCCCTTACAGCCAGCCGCATGCATTCCATTCCAGAGCCAACCTCTCAGATGCTTCAAAAGACTCCCAATCCAGCTCGAAAAAAGGCCAAAAAATACAGGAAAAATGCAAAAAGAATATGGTTGATCAAGGGCTGTAGTCGGATTTGAACCGACATCTCTCCTTTAAAGAGAAAATTCAATGGAGCGTGCTATTCATTACACTATACAGCCTTTTTTGCTGTTGAAAGCTATGTTTTCGACACAGCTTATATACCCCAAAACGGTAACATCTTGGCACCCACCAAACACACTTCGGGATACCACCAGAGAATGGAGCAATTGCTCAAGTCTTGGGAGACTAACATTACAGAATACTGGTTAATGGAACGGGTCGCGGGGCTTGGGGGTCCTTGGTCCCGCCATCTCGGACAGCCTAAGTTCCGTGGGTTCCCTCATCAAAAAAGCTTACCAGGTTTCCTAAGGCTCCCCATGACGTTAAGACTGATTGGCCCGAGCTTGTGCCTCGGCTCGTCCGTTTTTGTCAAAATTCTATGCAGTGACCCGCTGTCGCCAAAAATTCTGATAAGGTGCTTCTTCTGAAAGTGGCATATAAAAAGGTCTTAGATCTTCGAAGCTAAGGCATCCCTTAAAGTATTTTTCTATATATAAAAAAAAGGGTGCATCTTACCATACTTTCACACCTTTGGTCATAGATTATATTTTATATAAGGACGACCATTTGATACATTCTATTCACCATGTTTGCTGCCTCACAAACATACTATCACCATCCTTCCCCCGTCCTCCTCAAATCCAAGGATTCTGATATCACCGAATCCCTAGTATCAGTCTGTAAATCTGCCATCCCACCATTTTACCCGCACCCCCTCCTCCTAAGCGGTCATCTGCAAACATGTGCTATCTTATTCGCTTCAGATCATGTTCCTATACACTACAAACGACACCTACTAAAATCCGAAACTCCAAACGATCCGGGAACATTCAGCATCGACGTTGTAATCCCCGCACCTGAACAATCCGTAGAAGATACTCAAAAATCAACTCCCAAAAAGGTACTATCGGAAAGTGATCCGGATTATTTCCCCCCACGTACAACTTTCTTTACCGAAGATGAATTCGAAGAATGGAAATCCGACGACGAAACGAATCCGTTGATTATAGCCCTTCACGGCCTTAGCGGCGGATCGCACGAGACCTATGTCCGATTATCGCTTGAGCCGCTTGTTCGGCCCAAAAAGGATGGAGGATTGGGATTCGATGCATTGGTTGTGAATGCAAGAGGGTGCGGGTGGACGAAATTAACCGGTATGGAATTTTACGAAGCAAAAATTATACGTATATCTTACAAGACCCTATGCTAATCTCGAATATAGACAATAAGATGTTTAACGCAATGTTCACCAGAGATATCAAACACGTCGTCAACCTTATGCGCCGGAAGTTTCCGAAGCGGCCACTTATGGCAGTTGGATTCTCTCTCGGCGCGAATATCCTTGCAAGTCTGTATCTTCTATCCCTTTCCCAAGATAAACACTCCTGTGCTAACATAAACCTCCCCCCCTCCAGACTACCTTGGTGAGGCTGGTACCTCAACCCCACTTCACGCCGCCGTCCTGCTCTCCTCCCCGCACAACATGGATGTCTGTGCCAAAATCATGTTCATGACTTTCACCGGCCGACTATACTCCAAATTCATGGCCGGAAACCTGAAAAAGTTATTCGAAAGGAATTTTGAAATGCTCTCCAAGAATCCGGCTATCAACATCGAAGGAGCCCGTAAAGCAACATATCTCTACGATTGGGATACCGCAGTGACTGCACCAGTATTCGGATTTAGGACTGGGGGAGAATATTATCGTGCATCGAGTTCGGTGGATAAATTGATTGACGTGAAAATCCCAACGTTGATTATTAATGCTGATGAGGACCCAATTTCGCTTCAAAACGCTTTTCCAAGGCAGGAGGCGGAGGCTAATCCTTATATTTTCTTTGTGACGACGGGGTATGGCGGACACCTGGGTTGGTTCGAATGGGGGATGCATAGATGGTTTCCCAAGCCGATTATGGGGTTCTTGGAAAGGATGGCGGGGTTGGAGGTAGTAGAAAAAGAAGGGGGGGGCTTGTAGACGTCGGTAGAGCGTAGGCGGGGATTTCGTAGACCTGGCTTTTTTTTTTTTTCTTTTTTTTTTGTATAGATATAGAGTACCGTGTAAATGGTATAAACGGAGTCATCATGGGCGTGGTGTTTGTACGATAGATTGTAGAAAAGAAAAAGGAAAAACTTTGCTTTCGATAAATGATCGTTGACTTTTGCTGATAAATTTCCGATTCGAGAAACTCCAATAACGCCAGTCGCTGTTTTGTTTTTGAACCATGGAATTTCTTAGGCAAAGGATACACTCTTCCTCTTTCCACTGGACTTTGTCGGCTTGTCATCGACGTCGTCGTCGTCTTTGGTCGTATTTCCACCCTTTCGCTTTCTCTTCTTCTTCAATGAGTCCTTGACGTCCTCCTATCAGGCGCGCAAGCCGTTAGCATCTACTCGGCTAACTACCAAGTATCCAGACTACACAAACGTACCAATTTGGCCTCCTTCTCCTTCTCTCTCCTCTCCTGCTCCTTTCGTTTCTGCTCTCTTATAACCTCTAGTCGTCTATTCTTCTCGACTTTACCCTGAATAACCCCATCCACACTATTATTCACCAACTCCAGAATATCCATCATAGTCTCCTTATCCTCCACAAACACCTTTCCCTTCTTCTTCCCGCGCGGCTTTGTAACACCAGCGGGGACAATGCCGTTGAGGGTTGGGAGTTTAAGTTGAGCATCTGTGTAACGGTCCTTCAATGGCTTCTTATGAGGTTTGCGAATCTTCGTAGGAGCAGATTTTGAACCTGGCAAAGTGGTTGATGAAGTCGTAGTCGGTTTCTTGTGACGTTTGGAAGAGGTGAGTTTTCCGGGCGTGAAGGGTTTGGGGTCTGTGGTTGTGGATGAGGATGAGGAGTTTAGTTTTCGTTTTTTAGAGGATGAGAGGGAGTTCTTTGATGCTGAAGACGCGCGGGGGCGTTTTACGGGCGCCATTGTGTCCTTTTTTTCACCTGCGCGGGGGTTGGAGATTGTTGGTGATGAGGTTGGTTGGAGGATGTGAAGATTGAAGATTTGGTTTAGGCTTTTTTTTTTTTTTTGTCGCAAGATTTTTGGATTCCCCGAGACGAAGATGGAAAGTTTTGCCGATGCCGAAAAGGGACAGTTGGTTCGGAATACAACACCCTCAACACATCTATAGATATGAAGGCTTTGCTTGGTGACCACACTTCGGAAGAAAAGAAATCACGGAACGCCACAAAGAATGAGGATACAAGATAGATGAATAAGCAATAAATAATCTCTCAAGGATATAGAAACGGGAGGCTATCGTGGCAAAACACAGGCGTTTTTAGGGACCTGGGGTTTCTTCTTTCGGCCACCAACATCGTTGGTTCGGGAATGCTACAGAACTGGCACGCCATGGGGGATAGTTACATGACTCGAGACCCAAGTTAATTGAATATTTGAAGTTAAGCTATCCATCCCTGGCGTCGAAATGCTTTACCATTTATCAATTTATCCCTAAATTCGATTGGCTAGAAAAGCCTATATCCCGTTACCAAATCATACCACGGTATAAGATTAGACCAAACCCCCGAGATGAAACCCTTTTGAGGTTATCTATTACAACTATGCTCACTAGAATGGAAAATGACTTTCAGGTGGATGGATATGCTTTTGGATTTTGTAGAACCCTTCAAAATTGAATGGCGGCTAATTGCCCCACATTTCAAAATCTGTTGACGTAATAAGATGTCAAACGGGCAGGTATTGCGTCTTAGGTATTATTCCGGTAGAGAATGTAACGTTGTTACGTATTCTAGTCGAAATCCATCGAATTTCTACGATATAAATACAATACTGCAGGCTTAATCTGTAGTAAAAGGGTATTCGGGGCCCAAATATTCCTCCTACTAGCACGGGGGGCACAGGGAGTCTTGCGATTTTCAGAGACTATAGGCCTCGAAGGAAGACACTCTAGCGCTAAGTAATACAGTAGCCGGCAGCGGAGCACCGTAGTGAGAATGGATGTGTCTTTCGGGCAGACCCTATCAAAATAGCCGTCTTAAAATAGCATTTTCAATAATAAAGACGTTTTAAATGACCATTAAAGCGTCTTTTAATATGCCAAAAGTTCCGGTAAACCTTAGCCTTGAATCCAGGCTACGGTAAACCTATCAAACTCCGCATACTATACATTTTTCTTGCAATATCCTAATGTTGAAATCAGCAAAAAACGTGGTCAGAAAATTTAAAATCTGCCAGTCTTTTAGGCCATAAACTCCATTTTTTAGTTTGGAATACATGCAATCCCCTACTATGCCAGGGCCGATGGAATTTTTATCCTTTTCTTAAATCTGGCCCTATTTTATTCCCTATACACCTGAACACACCAATACCAAACTTCACCGAACTTTATCCCACCCCATGGGCCTATTGTTGCCAAACAACCCATTGAAACATCCAAAGAAACATTGAAACATTTCTCCCAAAGCCACCATAAGCAGCCACCGACCCTCCAAGCGAAACTCGGTACCCCGAAAAAGATTTTTTGACATTCATAACCTCATGCATCTATAGAATCCTATAGTCCTCCCTGCATAGCCGTTATTATATAAGTGGCGTTATATATACAGCTAACCATTAATGCACCGCTCGACTACGGGTCTTTGCAAGGATACGGCCCCCATTTCCAGGTCATGGCTGGTGCACGATAGGGAGAATTTCCAGAGTCCGGCTCCGGCTTCCTTTATAGGGAAATTTAACATGCTTGACGAGCTGGATGCACGGCGGCTATAGCGTGCGTAAATGCAACAGTGTGGATTCCTAAACTGCCAAGGGAATTGGGAGTTATAAAAAACTAACTGTGTGTGCAAGGTCTTTTTGGCATTTCGTAGCAAAATCGGTCGTTAAGATATACATATATATAGAAAAGGGAGATTAAGATTTATAAGTTTTGCTTTGCGGATTCCAACGTTGCAACCTATATGGGTTATAGTTATAATGAAGAAAAACATGCAGAGGATAAATTTAAAAAAATGAACACCTTCAACCCCTCAACCTTCCTTTCCTATGCAATGCCCCTGGTTATATCCTCCTCTCCCTCCTTGAAAATTCCAATT